AAACTCCAGTTCTGTTGGGCATCGCTGCTGGTCAGGGCTCCTGGGGGCATTGGGGGCAGGGGTGGCCCAGGGGAAGTTCCTGGGCGAGCTGGGGAGTCCAAAGCTGCTGGTGTTCCGCTGAATTGGGCTGTGCCAGGGCAGCAAACATCCAGGTGGCCCTGCTGCAGGATGCCAGGCAGGATCAGCCCTTCCCCACGAGTCCAAGTTTCTGCCCGGTGGCTGCCAGGAGCCCAAAGCCCAACATCCCCAAGATGGCATCACAGAGCCACCACCATCCAGCTCTGTTGGGGCCGGGTGTCCCTTTACCAGGGTCATCACAGGATCTCTGCAAACAAGGAGAGTTTGRTGGCACCAGAGGTGTGGGCAGCAGACCCCCCCACCCTGCAGCACGGCCCCCAGCCCTGCTATCAGGAACCTTGGTCATGGTCTCCTTTGGTCTTGGGCTCCTGCCACCACTCTGCGAAGAAGCCCTCCTCGTAGTCACCTTCACCCTCGAACTCGCCATCGGAGGGCAGGTCCAGCCCCTCTGTCCCCTCGCCACCATCCACCTCCATCTGCAGCATGGGAGGGCAGGAGAAGGCAGGAGGGTTCCATGGCCTCACCTGCATCTCTGCTCCAGGGCTGGTTTGGGGGGTCAGAACCCCCCRCCTGAGGAACATCCCTGCACACCCACACACCCAAAATCACCCCTGCATCCCACATCGGGCCCATCAGGTACCTCATCATCATCCTGCAGGTACTGCCGGGCAAATTCCAGCATCTTCTTCTGGGCGGCCGTCTGGTTGTGGTACCKCACGGCTTCCTGGGCACAGCAGGGGAGAGAAGCTGTGTCAGCCCCCGTCTGATCAGCGTGGAGCCACGGGAACGGGGYCTGGGGGATCCTCACCGGCCGAGGCTCAAAGTCCTCCTCGCGCAGGCGCCAGCGCTCGCGGTGGAAGCGGTAGTAGACCAGGTTCTGCTGCATCACGGTGTCGCCCGGGTCGAAGAGCATGTAGCTGGAGACGCTGCGCACCGCGTCCTGCACGTCGTTCACTGCGGGGAGCAGCGCCAGGTGACAYGGGGGTGACACCCCTTCCCCACGGTCCCCCGCTCCCGCTGGCACTCACGCTTGTAGTAGGCGAACTGCAGGTAGTGGTACATGGTGGCCACAAAYTTCTCCACGAAGTAGCCGCCCACGTTGGGGGTGAGCTCGGTCTCGCAGTCCACCTTGCACTGCAGCACGCTCACGAAGTGGTCTGGGGGAGAATGGCAAGTGCTGCACCCCTGATTGTCACCCCAGGTCTGCCACCCCCAGCCCTCCACTACCTGCGATGGCSGGGTAGAAGTCCTTGAACTCCTGAAGTTCGTAGGCGCCCTCACAGCCGGCCAGACAATCCTCGTAAGCCTTGTAGTACTCGGCCAGTGCCTGCTCCATGTCGGCAGCGCTGCTTCGGAAATCSCCGTTGTTGTACAGCTTCACCGACCGCACGAATATCGGCTGCCGAGGACCAGAGCTTAGCGAGGGAGAGCTGCTTCCCTCGGGGTTTAGCGAGCTCTGCTTCCCTCGGTGTTTGGCAAGCTCTGAGCCCCGGGGAGCCCCTCTTCCACCCCAGCCCCATCCCCTCCTTACCTCGTAGGGCTGAGCTTCCAGGTCCACCAGGTATTCATCCACRTCCAGCAGCGTCCTGTAGTAGTTCAGGTACCTCAAGGTCATCTCATGCTTGGGGTTCTTCTGTAGGAAGGTGTGGGCAGCAGACACGGCTTTCTCGATCTTATTTGACTGTGGAGGGAGGAAGAGGCAGTACAGAGAGCTGCTGCAGGGCAGCCTGGGCCAGCCCAGCTGGGACCTCAGCACCCAGCCAGAGCACAGGAGGATGATCCCTGTGGGGAATAGATCCAGGAACATGGATACTGCAGGTAGCTCCAGCCACACCAACCTCCTGACTGTGCCCATGCTGGGAGCAGGGACAGCTCAGCCCCTCCTGGGCCCCCMCATCCAGCCAGGAGTGATCCACATGGGATGAGATGGATCCATGTGATGTGGGTTTGACCCACGCATCTGCTCTGCTCCAGCAATGCCACCAGACTGGCCAGCCCTTGCCCACCCCTCCGAGGCTCTCAGGTTGCAGCTTCGGGGCAGTGAGGGGGTGCGGTTTCAGTGACCCATCCATGAAAAGGGTTTGGGTCATGAGGAAAAGGCATTAAGGATGAAGCCAGGCTGTCCCTTGCCGCTGCCAGGTGAGTGGGGCTTCAGCGCTGAGCGCTAAAACAGCACCCTCAGTGGCCAGCAGCCAGGGATGAGGACGCTGACCAGGGGACTGTCCCCTGCCAGAGATGCTCTGGCCAACAAACCAGCACCCCAGGGCAATGCCGTGTGAAGCCTCCCTCCACAAAACCTCTCTCCACGTCTGCACTGTAGAGCTGAGCAAGTTGTTCTTCCTGATGGAGCATCCAGACACGTGTCCYATCACAATCACAGGGGCTCGCCAGCTCTGGCCCCTCAGCTGGAGCAGCCCCTGCACCCTGTCCTCAGACAATGGCCTGTCTGTCTAGGGGGACCTCGGGCGACCAGGGAAATGCAAGGTGGGATAGAGGGACACAACCACAAGCCCCCCCCAGTCATGGGTGCACCCCTCACGTCCCGCCTGATGTGTCCCACATGATGCTGACGTGCCACAGCTCAGGGGCAGGATGGAGGAGCCGGAGGGGGGTGCCAGATGGGGAGTGAAGGAAAGGGGAAGCACCTGGAATGGATGGAGGGAGCAAGGTTTGGGGGCRCAGGGGTGGAGGGTGGGCRGAKCAGAGGGTGCAGGCTGACAGCGTAGGATGGGGGCACAGGGATGCAGGATGGGGGTGTCAAAGAGGTCTAGGATGAGGGGCACAGGATGAGACACGGGAAGGGRTGTGCCCAATGGAGGGGCGCAGGATGGAGGGGAAAGATCAGAGCGGTGCAGGACGGAGGAGCAGGACCCTCCCACCCCTTGCCCCCTGCCATTTGCACCGTCTCACCTTGAAGAGCGCGTAGTGYAGGTACTGGTAGGGCTGGCGGCGCTGGAAATCGCGCAGGGTCTGCGCGGGGGGGTAGCGCAGCTGGAACACGGGCAGCTCACGCTTGCAGGAGCGCAGGCAGCCGGCGCGGAGCAGCAGCCGCCCGAAGAGCCGCAGCTCCCGCTCCCACTCCCGCTCCCCGCGGGGCTCCTCGGCGGGATCCTCGCCCGCGGGGGGCTCCCCGGCGCAGCGGCGGTGGCAATGCGCCTCGCTGTCCCGCAGCAGCCTGTGGAGCCGCAGACTGGCCTCCAGCCCCTGAGCGCTCTCCGCCCATCGCGCGTCCGCGTACTGCTCCAGCGCCCGCGCGTAGGCGCGCTGCAGCGGCTCCAGCGCGGCCGCGGGGAATCCGCGCACGCTGTACTGCTCGTACTGCGCCGCGCACAGCCCCGCCGCCAGCGC